CGGATTCATGGCGTGCAAATGCGGATGTAATATATGTCTCAAAATGAGCAAGGGGGTCAGCTGTGCTTCTGGCACGGCGAAAACCGAATTGGGAAGGAGAGAGAAGATTGTGAGATTCAAGATACCACATTAAGCGGAAGTTCACCATTCGCTCTAATAGTTTGCACAAGCAGCTAGTTAGTGCGATGGGGCGATAGTCTTGAGGGAGGGTACCCGATTTATTGGGTTTCAGGAAGGGAAGGATAAGAGCTTCTCGCCAATTAGAAGGAAAATTTCCTGATGTCCATATGTGGTTGTAAATTTTTAATAGGAAGGATAAGGAGGAAGATGGGAGTTGCCGGAGCATACGGTAGTGAATACCGTCAGGGCCTTCATGAGTGTTGCGGCACGATTGTAGGGCAGTAATGAGTTCAGAGGAAGAAAATGGGGCATTATAGGATTCAGTGGAGGATGGGGTGAAGGTAATGGGGGTACGTTCTCTGGTGGTCTTGATAGAAGAGAAGTGTGGAGAAAGGTGAGAGCCACTACTGACCTGGCTGAAATAATCACCCAGTTCATTAGCGACTTGGAGAGGATCAGAAATGAGGGTATCTCGAATATGGAGGACGGGGGCAGGATGGGGGGGATGTTTGCCTGATAGTTTATGGATTCGTCGCCATACATTTGAGATAGATGTAGAGGATGTAATTGATGAAACATAATCTCGCCAGCTATTTGTTTTACTATTCCGGATTGTACGACGAAGACAGGCAGATGCTCTTTTAAAGGAGATAAGGGCTGATAGTTGATTTGGAGTACCTCTCTTGTAGCGGTAACTGTTCCAGGCTGCACGTTTTAAGCGAAGTGCTTTAGTGCAATCAGAATTCCACCATGGAACACATTTAGAGGTATATGGTCTTGAGGTTCGAGGGATAGCTGTATGTGCAGCTCTTAAGACTGTAGTTGTGAAACATTGTATCATTTCTGAAATGGAGGTGAGGGAGGATGGAGGGGTATGAATAGCAGAGAGTGAAGTGAAAGTATGCCAGTCGGCTCTCTCAAAGCACCAGCGTGGGGAGTTAGGAAGTGGTACGTATGAAGTAGGAGAAAGGAGAACTGGAAAGTGGTCACTATAGGGAAAGTGGTCTAAGACTGACCAGTGGAAATCTATATGAAGAGAAGGGGAGCATAGAGAGAGGTCAATGCATGAAAAAGATTGCGTGCGTGTATCAAAGTGTGTGGGGCGATCTGAATTTAGAATAGTAAGGTCAGCTGTGGAGAGGAAGCGCTCTAGAGATCGGCCTCGGGAGTTGGTAATAGAATCCCCCCAAAGAGTGTGGCGGCAGTTAAAGTCGCCTACTATGAGGAAAGGTGGTTGAAGTTGGGAAATTAGATTTTCAAAAGCAACAAAGTCAATGGGGTGGGAAGGGGAGAAGTAGACTGAAATCACTGTGATCCAACGATGAAGGAAGATACGAATAACTGTACAAGGGACATTGGTTTGAAAGGGTGGTGTGACATAAGGTGTTTTCTGATTGATAAGTATAGACGAGACATAAAGGGAATGTGGGGAAGAGACAAAATGATAATTGGGGATTGGTATTGGAGGATGTGTAAGAAAGGTTTCTTGAAGGCATACAATAGATGGGTTATAAGAGGAAAGGATATGACGAAGGTCAGGTCTGTGGGAGCGGAAACCGCGAATATTCCAATGAAGGATAGTTATACTTTCGTTGATTTAGTGATATAGATTGCAGTACGTGTTGGAGACTTTGAGGGGGAATCAGCTAGAGGGTGGGATAAGGACTGAGAGGTTTGAGATGGGAGAGATGTGGGAGTTGGTGTTCTATCAGGAGGGGTATTAGGAGATGGAGGGTCTGGGGAAGGGGATACTTGTGACATAAGGGATTCACGTGTGTATCCAGGAGGGAGTGGAAGGGATAGAGGGGATGGTGGGAGGGTTAATGTGGGCTGGGTTGGGGTCGGGGTCGGGGGGGATGGGCTGTGTTGGGAGGGGGTAGGAGGATAGGGTGTAGGGGGGATATCGTTAGGAGGGGGATGGATATCAGCAGTTACTTGGAGTGTGGAAGGAGCAGGGGTTGTAGGTTGAGTGTCAGTTTGCATTAAGTAATCTTGAATATTTTCAATAGTTTCTTCTGAGGAGTTGGTTGGGGAGTTGTGGGGGATAAAGGATTTCTTGTGAGGGGGGGAAGAGAGGACTGGTGTTTCAAGAGTAGGGGCAAAGGATGGTGGAGGTGATTGTGTGGTAGGGGAAGAGGGGGTGGAACGTTTGTTCTGTCTGTTACGGGGAGTGCGAGGAGGGAGAGGGGAAGGTGTTGGGGTTGTAGTGGTGATTGGAGTATCTGTATTAGAGATTGGAGTTTCTGGATTTAGGATGGCAAAAGAGTTAGACTGGGGAAGGTAGGAGGTAGAAGTGGGGGGGTTAGATGTAGGAGGGGTGGGTTTAGGAGAAGTGTTAGAATGAGCAGTATTACTGGAGTAAGGAGTAAGAGAGAATCCACGTCGACGTGCTTCCTGTCTGGCTTCACGCAGTGTGAGTCCAAGTTTGAATTTGAGAGTTGCTACCTCAGATTCAAATTTGTAGGTGGGACAGCCCCTATAAAATACATTATGGGGGCCGCCACAGTTGGCACATGTGCGTGATTGTGCAGAGCAGTTAGATCGGGTATGGCCAGGTTGGGCACATAATGGGCATCTGGCTGTGGAACGGCAGTGTTTGGCTGGGTGTCCTAGACGCCAACAATTTTGGCACTGACGTGGAGGAGGTTGGTATGGACGAACAGGGAGGGATTCTCCTCCTATGTAGACGTTAAAGGGAAGGTCATGTCTGCGGAAGGTAATTTTGGCTATGTTAGTGGGTTTCTTTCGATGACCTCTGGGGGGGATTGAGTAGCATTGTACTGATGTTGCATCGTAGTCTGTGAGACAGGCAAGTAGATCTTCTCCACAATCTGACCAATCTTTGTCATAGATTGGGCAATTTGCTGGTGAGATTGAGACTGTTCCGGTGCAAGTATTAAGGGTTGGATGGGGTTCTGCTAGGATGGGGTTACCATATTGGTCAGTTAGTTTTGTTAGTGCTATGGCTTGGTTTTCGGATGTTACTGTTACAAGACGGGAGCGGTCGGGTCGGTTACGGAAAGAGACTTTACCTACTTGTTTTTGGAGGCATTGTTGGAAGAGAAGGGTGTTGTCAGAGTAGGGAGCTGTGGGAGGGATCACGAAAAATCGGTCCCATTTGGCTGCACTGAAGAGAGTATTCAAGATTGTTTTAGAGATAGGGGTGGTAGAAGGGCGAGGGCGTGACGAAGATGGAGTAGTGTTGATAGAGGTAGTGTTATGGAGAGGTGGGCTATAAGGCTGTAAGGTATTAATAAGGGAGGATGGGGTGGTTGATGTTGGGGGTTGTGGGGGTAGAGGTGTTGAAGTTGGGTATGCTGGGAGAGTGGAAATGTTCCTTGAAGGTTGATTATTGGCTACTGTACTAGTAGGCATTGGTGAAGGGGTAGTTATTGCAGTGTTCGGAGCCGTGGTCAAAGGAGAGCCTGGGGTCGGGGAATCAGGTGGGTTTACTTCGTTGGGGCTATTTGATAAAGGGGCAAGCCTCATTGCCCCTAATAGTGGAGATAGATTTTCATTACTGGCCATGGGAAGCCTGGATTATGTTGGGGATAAAAACAGTCCACCCCTCAGGGTCCCCTTGATGGGTAAGGGCTAGATAACTAAATCAGGGGAATACCGTGCCCATGGCTCCCTCAGGCCGTTCAGGACTGGCACAAAGTCAGCCTTTCATCCTTTCAGCACGGCTCTCACACCTTAGGAGGTGGATAGCAGAAGGGTTTGGTGAAGGGACAGAAACAAAAGTGGGAAGGGAAAAAAAGACCATGCATAATTAGTTGAGTCGAGGGCTGAGTCCCAAGGTTGGGGAGTTCCCCATCATTGGGTCCCAGTCTCCGCCTCCTAAGCCCCCCCACGACAACAACGGGCAAGGGATTGGGGGGGTGACCAGCTGAAGGTTTTAGAGCAAGTAATTTATTTGCGAAAGAAAAGCTGCCATGGAGTATTAAGGAAGGTCTTAAAGTGGGGTAATAATCCATGGCTGGAATACGTGAAAACGTGGTTGGTGTGATGTGGTAATAGCGACGGAGCGTGTTTGAGTACCGGCCTGTTCATAGCCGGGGATTCCAACATGACTGGGCACCCAGCAAAATCCGAGATATTTGTCGCACGTCGACAGGTAGAAACAGCTCTGAATCTTATAGACATGGGGATTGGTCGAGTGCATAGATCTTTGAGAGTTAAGGAGTTACGGGAATCCGTAAAAATACTTAAAATGTCAATGAGGCACACCATTTTCTTTATTGAAAATTTAAAAAAGGCCATGCAAAATTTGCTGAGGCGAGGGCCGAGGTCCACATTAGGGGTGATCCCCTACATTGGGCCTGTCTCCGCCGCCTAATCCACCCTTCCCCCACGGCAACGAGGGGCAAGGGAGGGGGGGGGGATTTGAGAAATCGGTCTTGCCAAGCCCAGTTCTACTTAAAACACTGGCAACCGAAGTTTGTTCAATTTTAGATTAAAGGTTAACAAGTCTATACTTACAAATATTCATTGCAAGTACAGGTTTCTGTATTTGATTGTGGTTTTCATTTTCAAAGGTCTTTCAAATATCAAGATCATGTTTTAAACAGTAAGAAAATAGGCCTATATGGCTATCAGATTTTTTTTTTTTTTTTTTTTTTTTTGGGGGGGGGGAGGTTATTCCCTCCTCTGGCTTCTAGCTAATACAGTATTTTCACATTTATAAATGCAGGTATCAAACAAGTTATTAATAATACCATGTATCCAAGTTATAGTTCACTTTTGCCAACACTTAATACAGTACTGATAAACATGTGAATAACCACTTCCTTCTGTATATAAATGTTTAATCATTGAAGCTAAATATTCATTCCATATCAAGTCAAATTACATTACCAAGGGGCACCAAAACCACAACAGGACGTTTGACTTTATTAAAAATATTTTTTTTTCGGATTTTATTAACGTCAGACTGCAACAACTGGAAGACCAGAGTAGCGATGCATCTAGACCTTGTTGAATGCCGCAACATCAACAGACTGGACGTAATCCTCAAACTCCTCGATCTTCTCAGTGAGGTCATCAACAGAAACTTTAGCGTCTTCTATCGTGCACAAGATACTGAGCTTCATGATGCCAAAAGCCAGGGGGTTGAGCTTACCTGTAACAGAGAAATGTTTGTGACATAACTTAGGAGGCATACATACAGGTGTGATAGAGTCAAATCCTTACGCAATTTAAACCTCAATGAATTTTAGCCACCAATTACAAGTAAAAATATATAAAACTAAATTAAAACTCACTTGCTCCCCAAACAAGACCATCCATGGTGATTGTACGAATCTTATTCTCCATCTCCTTCATGTCGGTCTCATCATCCCAAGGTTTGCAGTCCAACATGATCTGTGACTTGGCAATAGGACCTGGTTTAGCAGACTTCTTAGCAGCGTAGGCAGCTAGTCTCTCCTCTCTTACACGGGCAGCTTCCTCATCCTACAGAGACAGAAATAATTTTAAAATTGGCAGAAAAAGGGGAGGTCTTTCTCCAAAGCTGGTAAGAAATCAGATACTATCTAGAACTGCACATTATTGTTCACCTGAGTATTCTACATCATGTCGATGTCAATTTCAAATTATCAGTGGTGCTAACTTTTCCTCAAATTCAAACAAGTTATTTACAAATAGAACAATGTCAATACTAACAGCACAGGAAAACCTTGCTTCGAAGATTTGGAAATTGGTGGTCATGTTTGGAACCCATACAAGTTTCAAAACCTCAACCTACTAACCTCTTCCTCCTCATCCGAGCCAAAGAGATCAACTTCATCGTCGTCGTCATCATCGGCAGCAGCAGGAGCTGGGGCCTGGTTGGAAAGGGCCTTCTTTACACCAGGGAACTTGCTCTTCTCAGCACCAAATGAGCTAATGTGATTGTACCACCTGAGAGCATGTGAATACTTTCCAGCTGGGGCCTTGCCCAGAGCTTCAAACACTGCTACATCATCCTGGGATGGGACAAACCTGGGGAGAGGATATGTAAAAAAAAAAAAATGTATCAAAACTGAAGATACTCAACCAGCAGGTACTTATAATAATGTATAATCAGATACTATCTAGAACGCACATTATGTGTTCACACAAGGTGTTATCCATCATGAAAACAGGAATGAGAACAATCCCATTCTCAAGAAATATTCAGAAATACGACACTCGCTCATACATCAGACATCAAAATGTTCCCCAAGGGAAACTCACATTATGCAAAACCAAAGTATGTAAAAATCTTATTCCCATTATTTTCTTCCAAAGACATACCTTTAATTTTGAGCTTGTTCATCTGTTTCCTAAATCTTTTCTAAATTGACACTATTCAAAAATTCAGCTAAAAAATGTGACGATTTTAAACTATCAAAAACTTCACAGAAACAATATACAAAAAATCCATGCACTGCAAAGGCAAAAACATGCAGCTACTTTAGAAAATGCAAACCTACTATACAGTACTGTTAGAGGTTCAAGCAATTCATAAAACACTTCATGTGTTTACCAAAGGAAAGACCAAACCCTAAATTGTGATAAACTCATACAACTTAATATGAAACTAGATATATATAAAACTGCTATGTAAACAATCCTAAGGTCTAGGTACTGCCTGTAATGGACAGAAAGAACAAATTTAAGGCTTCATTTATAGCAAGTTGGAGAGAAAGTTGCAATTCTGAAGTAATACTTCAGTATCACTTACATAATGACTGCATTAGGATGGGGAAGACCTATTGACATCTATTGACCGAGGCAAAAAATTCACTTACAGATATATGAAATGCACAGGCAAAAAATATCAAATTGTGAAAATAGCTCATGACAAATGCCTTGCAATTGGGTGGAGATCCAGGGGCAAAGCCCCACATTGGGAAGATTTTAGTTCATACAGCAATAATTCCCAGGAGAGCCCTCAAGGCTGTTAGCCAGGTAATAACAGAAGGGTGTGGCCATTTTGTAAACAATTACCAATAATTTTACTTGCTGGAAATGTGAAAATATAAGTGGAAAAACAAGCCTCATGCATATTACACCAAGAATAATCAGAACAAAAAATTATGGTTAGGGTTAATGTTACCAAGAGCAACACAGATAGAGGGAAATGGACATTGCCATCTTATAAAGCATAAAACAGAATAATAAACACTGGCACAGTTGCAGTGGCCTCATATTTATTACAAAATGACCTATCTGTTGCATATCACCACTCAGAGACTAAGTCCACAACACCCTAACATAGCCATAGTTCTCAATGTCATGTTTTCTACATGTCCATTCCCTGAAAGTTGGCACAAAGTGCTAACAAAGTTAAGGGGAGTATAAATGGAATGTAGGGAAGCTTAGGATTGGGATTTTGGGTTTGAATAATTCCCCAGTATTCTTTTTTTCTCTTTCTTTTGAGAGGCATTGGTTAAAAAATAAATTCTACTTTTAAGAGTATTCACAGCTGCTTACCAGAGCTATGAATAGAATCAAGGTTTATGGTCTACAACTGATGAAAGACTGGCTTTAACATTACTAGGATAAACAGTGTTGCATACTATATTGTTATAATAAGGAGATTTATAGTTTGTAAAAGTAAAGGTTTACTTACAAATATGTGCAGCCTGCTATAAAAGTTCTCTATCCAATCTTATCATACTGTTATTAATTAGAACCATTCTGACCACTGTACCATCAGCAGTGCATCAACTTTGTTCGAACTTATTGCCTGCAATTCTAATAGCTTGACACCTAAAAAATGATGGCTACAGGAAATTTATGATATTCTTGCAGAAGACAAAGTTATAGTCCTAAACACAAGAAATACGACAAAGGAAGATCGCAGAAAGCGCCACTCACAGCCTAAGTCCACTCAGCACTCTCGAGTCTCAGCTCTATCTTGCCAGTAAAAAAAAAAAAAAAAAACAGCTGGAGGGTGGGGCATGCCGTCATGGCAATTTAGATTGGAGAATAAAAGTTTGTTACATGGAGTTGGGACCTTTGTCTCTGGTGAGTGCATCCACACTGTAAAGAATTACCAAAATGATCACTGTGCGCTTAAAGACCCATCCATCATAGTAACGATGTGGTCTCACTGTGCTCCACAAACTTGAATCCTATGGGGGTCAACATGTTCAGTGCAATTTGTTACATAAAACACTAACATGCATTACAACATTCAAACTACATTTTACTTACTAAAAAAAAAAAAAAAAAAAAAAAAAAAAAATTAATTAAAAGGTATTTAACAATGCTACCTACTAGTGAAGGATGGATTTTACAACTTCACTTTAAAAGGGACTTGAGATATTAGAAAAAAAGGTCATTCTAAATCAGGAATCAAGGATAGAATCATCATAAAGACAATCTAAAAATCCCTTACGTTTCCTAAACTGGAATAGGCACTGACGGTCCAGCAACAGTTATATTATGCATTCTAAACTGTTCTTGGAAAAAAAGTATGTACTGAGAAACTTAAAAAAAAAAGAAAAAATAGAAACTGACATTGCTAATAACTAAAATTGCCATAACTAGAGTATATTGCAAAAGCACAAAATTTACAAAACTATTAAATCCCATTCCAGTGTACGTACTCCCCTAGCATGAAGAAACTGATCAAATTTTTGAAATTGTGGATTTCTGAGGCATCAGTCTTCACCCCCCCCCCCCTCGAAAAAAAAAAGGGGTATGAATAATCTCTAAACTGGTAATCGTACCAAAATTCATCTACTGTCCGAACCAAAATAATAATAAAAATTACAAATAAATAAAATAAGCACTTAAATCTTAACCTACGTGATTTTGAAACTGATTCGAGCACATGTCAATCGTCTAACATTTCCACCAACAGCTGCCACGATGAACAGTTTTAAAATGACAACAAAAGCCTTTCTTCATGACAGCGCGAGGGACTTACCAATGAACTCAAAAATCGAAGAAACCTCCACAATTAGTGCCGAATACTCATTACAGGCCGCCATGCTCGCTGTATTCTCTTGTAACCAGGCGACGTGACCATGTGTCTGTTCCCCGGCGCCACCTGAGGACTTACCTGGACTCTGCGCCGAGAAAGTCTATTTCGCGAGGCTTTGGTCTGAGTAAACACGCATGGCGGCTCGGGAAACACATGGAATTTTTAATCTTTAGTTTTCACTGTGACAACGTACCCTTCGATGTAACTTTTGTCCCCAAGATAATCATTTAGGGCCTTGACGCCAGCGTCACTTTTCAAGTCACCGAAATTTGGCATTTTCCTGGCTTTTAGCGTCCGAAAATAGTGCCCTGTGCTCGGTCGTGTCTCTTTCGGACACTCTTAGACGGTCAGAGACCGACACCGTGTCCGAATGCGGCGAAGTGGATTCACTTCTTTGTATGTCACCGGGGCCCTATAGTTGGAAATACAAGTCACATCGCCCTTTTTTGCGATTCATTACAATGATTGTATTTTATCAACAATTTTTTTGAGTCTGATATCTCGACAAATCGAATGTAAGGAAAACTGGCATTGATATGCCTTACCGGTACGAAACTAAAGCCAAAGTCGACTGGGAGATTCGAAGGGAGGGCAACCTACACATTGAACTGGTACTTTGGTTCTAAACCACGTGGAACTTTCACATTATTCATATATTTCAAAATCTTTGATAACTTTATTTATGAACACCATCAATTTTATAATACTCGAATTTATATACAATATTAGCAAAACTACCGATATATCCTACTCAAATAACACACCGACCAGTTTCACCAGTTGTTCTATTTCGACTTACAAATGTATAACCAACGGTATGACAAGCCTATAAAAAAAATCCACCAGTCTTGAAAAAAACAAATTAAATTTATTCTTAAGCCAAATATGTAACATTTACGCAACTTGAACGCTGATTGGTCGACGGTTCACCATCTTGCCTCTCAGCTGATTGTTGTTGTGGTGAGCAAAGTTCGCGATTTTTGTGCCTCACGGACTTGTTAGGGGTTATTTTTTCGTCTTGGTAGAATGAGGTTGAGTCTCTGAGGCTCGTGGACGCGTTGGGGGTGGATATTAAGGGGTTAATTAAAAGTGAGTGGGTTTTATTCATCCCCGGCTTGAAATCGTAATTTTTGGTTTGTTATTGTTCTTCGAGATAAAGATTTATTTCGGTAATTACTGCGGGTTATTTAGGGACGTCAGATTAATGTATAACCTTTGTGATCATCTATGTATAAGTGTTTGTTCTGTGGATTAACTGTTATATGGACCTAACTTCTACCTTTGATGTCGGTATTGAGGCCTTATCTCCACGTAGAAAATGTTTTAGAAATTTTGAGTTTATTGAGTTTTTTCCTCTTCTGTCTCCTTCAAATTCTTCAGTATGCTTTTACCTGATAGTCATTTTTTTATTGTCAGGACTGGGGTTTCATTGTGGGTCATGACTATGCCTGACTTCTTTGCTTATTAATTACGTGGTATTGATATTGACTTCTAGATGTGTATTTATGGTATTTGTTATGGTATTTGGTATTTGTTATTCATGGTACTTGTTAATGAGAGGCACACACCTTCCAGAGACGAAGTTTTGAAGAAGATTTGGGTATCATGGAAACCCAAAAATCCAAACCTAACCTCTGTTACCTTCTATTTATTCCCTAGATAAGGGGGTAAGCTTCTGCCTATGCCCCCCTTTATTTGCAATTCATGCCAACTGCCACAAGAAGATATTTGTGACACATGCCTTTAGTGTGGAGGGTACAGAGAAGCCGCGGCGAGAAGGAATTATAGAAAATGGACTTGTAGAAAAAGTGACAAGAATTCTAGCTCTAGGGTGTATTTCATGCACTTAGGTCCGAAGATCTCTGGCATGGAGTCCGCTTTCCTGTCGGCGTGGCGGTGTGGATTTAGCCTAAATTATATTCCTTGGCGTATTGGCGTAGTGAAATGGAAAAATCTCGGCGCATGTTTTTTTTTTATCTTTACTGCTTTTTCAAGCTTTTAAGTTGAATGCAATGCACCTATACATAGCTGTTTGTTTTATTCCTTTATAACGCACGCATCCCCCCCCCCCCACTCCTTGCAGCTGTTTTTTATCACTCCCATAGTTTTCAAAAGTGCCACTGTGTCGTGGAGTTTTTGAGACAATGTGATTGCACTTGGCATCATACTTTATGAAAAGTTACTCTTATCGGGAACATTGGCGTACACTCGATGAGCTATTGGCATACCTCCGGCGTGAGTTTTACACAGAATGCACCCGGGCTCTGGCTGCGTGAGGCAGTTATGGACTCTGAGCGGTGAAATTCAGCAGATATATTTACCATTTTGCAGTAAATGTTAAGGGGCAGTAGCTGTACCTGTGTTGTTTATGACTCTTTTTCTTATGCTTATGAGATGGTGGTGTCCACTTCCCTCCATCTTTGTATGTCGCTCTTGGTAACATTAACTGTATTCTCATATCAACCACATTAGGATAGGGGAAACCGAAGGACCGTGTCACAAGGAGAAAGGGAAAACTACATTAATTTGTATATAAAATAATGTTTGGAGGCAGATAAATAAGGTTCAGTTTGTTTCCCACAGCCATGTATTATAGATAAAATTTGCCTGTAACAAACAGAATGACAAAAAATGAGACATTTTTCATCTGTGGTACTATCTTTGCAAGTTGATTACAAGAAAGTTGTGCAAGGCATAGTAATTTGCTATATAATTATAGGAATATGTTATGGCACTATAATAATCAAAGTAAAAACTACAAAAGGCAAAAAATAACATCAGAAATAAAGCAAATAGGTTGTAACAAATGCCTTGAGGAGAGTAAGTCCACAGCAATCAGGTGTGGGTCCTTTATTTCATTTGGGATGGAAAATGCACATTACAGTGTGGATAATTGGAAGAAGGGATGATAATTGGAAGATTGGATGGCTGTGTAAATTACTTGAAATAAAATGAGAAATGAAGAAAATAGGTCACAACAAATACAGCACACATACCAAGTTCATGGTGATCTGGTGTGGGTCTGAGGGCAGAGCCTCCAGTGAAGGAAATGCAACAATCAAGTAGGGTTCCAGAGGCAAGGTAAAACCCCTGAATTAGGAAGGTATTGACAATATTTGTGGATTCCCAGAAGTGCCACTAAGATTGTAGGCCTGAGTGATTGGGACTTTGTCTCAGAGGGGTGAGGTTACTTTTTAAACAATTATTGACTTTGTTTAACCCCTTGGTGCCGGGTGACACCGATCGGCGTGTAAACAAAGCGCTCAAAAGCTGGCATGCAGTCGAACGAGCCGGCGGTGCGCCAAAGCGCGGCGAGCCAGTGATTCGGGCTGATGTCCCCTACTCACGCGCTCAAAGTCGGCGCGCCGCCTTTGTTTGTTTAAGCGTAGAGTTTTTTTTTTTTTTTTTTTTTTTTTTTTTTTTTTTTTTTTTTTTACACCCGGCGCCATTGGGTTAATCTATAGGAAATGGAATTTTAACAACTATACATGAAATTCTTTAAAAATAGAGGGGTAAATTTTTGTATATGGCAGTGTGGCCTAAACAGACCATAATTATATAATCAAATTTGATAGCCCAGGTAGTAGGGGTGGACGTGAAATTATAGGGTGAAACTGGCTGAAATAGAATTAATATTAGTAAAAATACCACAAAAGACATTACAGATTGGTTTAAGAAACTACAGCTATGCCTACCATCACTGAAAGGCTGTGGTATTTTTGAAAAACTACAAGCTTCCAACCAATCTTTTTGTAAAATCTATAAGCTTACACACCACCAGAAACCCCTAGATATATGACTCTTTACTATATACCTCATCTGGACCCTGTTGTATTTATGTAATGCATTGAGGCTGTATAATTCTTGGACATTCTGTGGTCATCATTCAGTATGTCATAACTATAACATATAAGATAATGTCGTAAAACCCTAACTAGGGGGCTCTGGCATTGTAACCCCCCGTGGTTGTCACAAAATACATTCTAACAATATGCCTAACTTAACTGCCAAGCCAGGGGGGGCTCTGCCTCCCATGTTAAATGACATATGAGAAATCAGGTTTTTGCTGCAGAAAATAAGAAAATAGTTTTTCTATGCATAAACTACAGAATAATTTTGTTCTTACATTAGATTTGCTCAGTGAAAACCTAATAACATTGAACTTTTCTTCAGTTCCATTGATTGTCTGAGTTGCATTGCACCTAATTACTTTTCTGACATTTGCACTTGATGGGTCAGATATAAAACTGTGGTGGTTACTAATATTATCTGCATAACCACAACATTCTTTTAAAACTTGCTAAGAACTTACTCTATAAATAACACGTCACCAGTGCTTGTCTGTGAACAGAGTCCCCCAGTTATGAAAATGTGCATACATAGAAGATTATTGTACCAAATTATATAGATAACTGATAAAAGACATTAAAGAAATATGATATTAGAAGGACATTAGATAAATAAGTATGAAAAAACAGACTTTGATAATTATAATATAAAGAAAAATAATGATAATAAATTATAAGTTTATATTACTTGATAAATCATAGTAAAGAGTTATGTTGTCACTGTAGTATTTATCATCACAATGTTAACATGATGAGTGATTTAGAAGTTTGTTTGGTCTTCTCTGTTCTCTGTCTTTTATGTTTATTATTTTCTATTTGTACAGGAAATGCCATGTAAGAAAAGTGTTTTCATTAAGTTAATCATTTCATACACACTTTAAAAGGGTTGTAATCCTTTGGAATTATACTAATGTAAGAACTAAATGCATACTGTCTCTAGGGAACACAAGACAGCCTCATAACAATTTTGAAGGAGAAATGAATGGGTTTATAGTGACAGATGTAGAGAAATGAGTGAAAGAACTGTAATTTATGTTTTCAATTGAATCTTCGTGAGCATGATTAAAAGGGAAAGGTGTTTTAGTTTAGGGGGCAGTTCATGGTATATATAGCTAAAGAAGCAGATTAAATAGACTAATTTAACACTTACTCTCTCTCTGTCTTCTCGTCAGTAAATGAAGATGCTGCGTTTAGGGGCACAGCAGCTGCTCCGCTATGGCGGTGGGCGCTCCCTGGTGCTCGGAGGAGCTCGCACTCAGTCTTCTGCGCCAGAAAAGATTGAAGTGTTTATTGATGATAAGCCAGTAATGGTGGAACCTGGAACTACTGTGTTGCAGGTAAGCTTTTTTGTGATGTTCTAGGTACACTACTATTTTGCACATTATTTTGATGTTATATTAGGTAATGTTTGTAGGTAGCTTTTTTTTTTTCTTTTTTATGCTTCAGTTTTTAATTTTGCTTTCTTGTTACCTAAGGTAGTAATTCTGTATAAGGTAACCTCCCATTTTGGTAGTGATGTGGTAATCAATGATTTTTTTTTTAGAATTCAAGTATCATATTTGAAGTTATTGATTTTTCAGAATGTTGATATATTATGAATTTATATACTTTCACTAAAAAAAATCATTCTTGAAGCTAATCCTTTAAATTTAAAGTGATCTGGAATTAGTTGTCAATTATCCTTGCATCTTGTCTCTCTTCCTCCCTCCCTCCCTTCCTTGCTCTCCCTCTTCCTCCCTCTCCCTCCCCTTCTCTTCCAATTTGTTGATTTTTAATTCTTTATTTCTTAGCATTTAGTAATATAGATGGCAATAATATAACTTCCCTCAAATTTTAAAAAATTTACAGGCTGCTGCAGTGGCTGGAGTAGAAATCCCCAGGTTCTGCTACCACGAGCGCCTGTCTGTGGCTGGAAACTGTAGGATGTGTCTGGTGGAAGTTGAAAAGTCAGTCAAGGTACGTGTGCAGCTCCAGACATTTTATATCCCAATTATTCTGGAGGAATGATACAAGGAATTTTGAAGGCATAATATCTAGCTTAAACAACGACATTCCTTTTGATATTCTGCGATGATGTCATTCCCTGCTTTGTTGCCGCGCAGCCAGTTGCCGCTTGTGCCATGCCCGTGATGAAAGGTTGGCGCATCAAGACCGACAGTGACATGACCCGAAAGGCACGCGAAGGAGTCATGGAATTTCTCCTGATCAACCACCCCTTGGATTGCCCCATCTGCGATCAAGGTGGAGAGTGCGACTTGCAGGTAGGTCTGCAACCCAACTGGATTTTTGTTAAATAGTCGGATATGCATTTGTAGGTGTGTGGAGTGTAGGTGGGAAGGGTGCCTAGAGGAGAGATCATAGTCTGGGTGGAGGGGGGGGGTGAATGTGTGGGCAGTAGGGGGGGTGGATGGATGGTTATTTTGGTAGACTATAGTAAGGGTTATGTTCTTATTATCAGTGTTCATGTGAAAGAAAGTTATTTATTATGTATAGTGGTAACCTTTCTTAGAGGAAATTTCAATTGATAAACATATGTTATGTTTCTAGATGCAGAGTGGTGAAATACATGATTAGTCCTCTAATACAGATATTAACATTGATTTAATTTGAATAACTAACAGTAATTACAAGTTTGATTGATTTTATAGGTACAGTTTTAGGAGTATTATTTTATTTCCTTTCTATTTTTTTTCACAGCCATTATTTTGAAAAATCTTAAAGCTTTCTCTTTTTATCCTCCCCCCCTCAAAATTTTACAGGACCAGTCAATGGCCTTTGGCAGTGATCGGTCCCGTTTCCTGGACAACAAACGCGCTGTAGAAGACAAGAACATCGGGCCTCTTGTCAAGACTGTTATGACTCGATGCATCCATTGCACTAGATGTGTCCGATTTGCCTCTGAGGTAGGCGTTTGTTATTTTTCTGGTGGAAGTCATTAAGAAAAAAAATGACAGAGATAAAACTTGGTGACAGTGAGATTTGATTGTGAGAAATTGTTTTCTTGTTTGTCTCAAAAGTAATATTAATATATTTTTTTCTTTTTTCTCTTTTTCTTATTATGCATTATAGTTAGTATTTTAGTGGAAAGGAAAAAAATGAGACAAATACTTTACACACCTCTTCTTTTGCTCTTTGGTACCACCAGATTGCCGGTGTGGAAGACCTCGGGACAACTGGCCGAGGCAGCGACATGCAGATTGGAACTTACGTCGAGAAGATGTTGATGTCCGAGCTCTCAGGGAACGTCATTGATCTGTGCCCTGTTGGTGCTCTTACTTCAAAGGTAGCCAGTGTATTGATATTTTCTGGCTTAGGGGTATAGAAGTGTAGGGTGCGTTGTATTTTTAGAATCCTTACATTCGATGAGAATTTGTGTTTAAAGACTGCGGTAGATTTAGCTCATTGCTTTGGAAGTATTGGACTAATAAGACTTAGGTTCATATAGTTTCTCTCTCTCTCTCTTTCTCCCTCTCTTTCTTTCTCCCTTTCTTTCTTTCTCTCTCTCTTTCTCTCTCTCTCTTTCTCCCTCTCTTTCTCTCTCCCTCTCTTTCTCTCTCCCTCTCTTTCTCTCTCTCTCTCTTTCTCTTTCTCTTTCTCTTTCTCCCTCTTTCTCTCTCTCACTCTTTCTCCCTCCCTCCCTCCCTTTCTCTCTCCCTCCCTCCCTCCCTTTCTCTCTCCCTCCCTCCCTCCCTCCCTTTCTCTCTCCCTCCCTCCCTCCCTCCCTTTCTCTCTTCATCCCTCCCTTTCTCTCTTTCTTTCTTTCTTTCAAGATACATATAACCACATAGCCCCATTCCCATTTAGCCTGTTCAATCCAAAAATGAAATTGATTTTTCCCAAGAGTATTGTGACATTGTTAACAGTAAGAAACCTCATTATCATAAATAAGAGAGGAGAATTTTGGTTTTATTACTAGTGCTTGTAACAGTATCAAGTAGATTATGCAAATGATTATACTTCTAGTTATATCTGATATCTCAAGGCACAGTCATTGTTTAACGTGAAGAGTTATCAGTTCTTCCCCCTTTTTAACCCCAACAATTTGTGCAATATTTTATGGTAGTAATAATAATAATAATAAAATATTTGTGTATGTATATATAATATAATATGATATAGTATTTACATACACATACACATTCACATATACATACACATATAAATACATACATGCACACATACATGCACACACACATGCACACACACATGCACACACACACGCACGCACACACGCACGCACACACGCACGCACACACGCACGCACACACCCGCACGCACCCACACACACCCACACACACACACACACACACACACACACACACACACACACACACACACACACACACACACACACACACACACACACACACACACACACACACACACACACACACACATACACACACACACACACACACATACACACACACACACACACACACACACACACACACACACACACACACACAAGTAAACATAAAACAAAGAAATATATAGATATTTGATATTTCTCTGAAAAAAGGTGATGAGGTAAGGCATAGCTCATCATTTGCTAACTAGAATTTTCATTGAGATGGAATGGGCCCATCTGTGTAAAAGTACCTTTCTTTCTTTTCTATTTTTAAACAGTAAATGTGAGTCTCCTTTTCATGTTTCCAGCCCTATGCCTTCACTGCCAGACCTTGGGAAATTCGCCGCACTGACTCGGTCGATGTGCTTGACGCAGTTGGCTCAAACATTGTCGTCAACCACCGCACTGGTGAAGTCCTCAGGGTCTTGCCCATGACGAATGAGGTTTGTATTATAAGAGGAAAGTCATTTTGAATATTGAGATAGGAGAGGAAGTAGAACTTAAGTTTTTTGTGTCTTATTGACTAAAATGTTCTACGATTTGGAATTTATTTTGCTTTTGTTTTGAAACTTGTTTTGTGATGAAGAAATTGAGTTTGTTTTTTAAACAAACTTTTTAAAAACTTTTTTCATATAATGTCCCACTTCGGAATGCCTCTTCTAAGAAGCAATAATTCAAAAGTGACTTTAAAATATGTATTTACAGCATATATGAGACATTTTCATGATACTGAGTATTAGTTTTATATAATTTCAACAACAAAAGCTAATGGCAAAAAAATATATTCATTGTAATTCATTCAAATGCCATTGATGTGTGTGAGGATCACATATTTCCAAACTTTATACATCAACTTTATAAATCATTTTCACTTACCTAAAAAGCTGTAAATTATTGTTTGAGTTAATTATTTTACACAGTATCCATATAAGGAAGAGACAAAATGTGTAAACCCAAAGTCGCAATAGACAGCAACATTGGTATTGTATCTTAGGTTAAAGGATGTCCAGGAAGGAACTATCATAAAAGTGGCTCCACATCCAAGAGATTTAAAAATAATTTGGCACTTAACACCTTGATTCCAGGAAATCAATGAGGAATGGCTGTCTGATAAGTCACGGTTTGCCATTGATGGGTTGAAGCGCCAGCGTTTGATTCACCCAATGGTAAAGGACTCGGCCGGGGAGCTCCGTCCTTGTGAGTGGGAAGATGCACTCATTGTGGCAGGAAAGGCTCTGAAAGCAGCCAATGGCTCTGTTGCTGCCATTGCTGGAGGTATAGTTTTCTTCTAAGTATTTTTCCTTATGGTTTTATATGCTCTTGATCTCTCTCTCTCTCTCTGTTCATTCTTTCATTTTTACAAGACTTTCATACTTAAATCTGCTTCAGGCTTCTACTGTTTTGTTTTGTTTTTTCTTCTTCTTCTTCTTCTTTCTCTTTTCTTTCTTTTTTTCTTTTTCTTTTTTTTTCCTGGGTAGTTTAAAAAAGCAGCTGAAAGTATAGACAATGTTTCATAAAAAGAAGTGTGGCTGTTCTAATCATTTGTGTCTTTTCAGGACTGGTTGATGCTGAATCACTAGTTGCTCTTAAGGACATGGTCAACAGACTTGGTGGAGAGTCTGTTTGCACTGAGGAGGTGAGCTTACCCTTGGAAATATTCTTTCACAGTTTAAAAGTTTGGGTAAAAGGATAGGGAAAGAGGCTAATTTGAGTTGCAATAAACTTGCTGGTTTGTTTGTTATCAAGAAAAGATGCTTATCAGATGTTGTCACCAGTCTATACTTGTGCATCAGTGGACACATGCATTTTTTAAGTCTCCACTCACTCTTTCATTTATTCATTTTCTTTCAGATCTTCCCTGACGCTGGAACTGGTACTGACCTGCGATCCTCTTACCTGCTCAACACTAAAATTGTTGGTGTAGAAGAAGCTGACTTGGTTCTGTTTGTTGGTACCAATCCTCGGTTTGAGGCAGCACTTTTCAACGCCCGTGTTAGGAAAGCCTGGGTACACAATGAGCTTGATGTTGCCATGATTGGACCCAAGGTGAACCTCACCTATGACTATGAGGTGAGTCGTTCATTTGCTCCTTCTATTAGTAAAGGTTGTTCCTCTTTTTCTTGTAAAAAATTTTCATTGCATTTTCTTATATAAGTTTGTACTTTCATTCCCCTTGTGCTTTTTGTACATTTTATTGCCAATAGTTTTTCTATTATTATTATTATTATTATTACCATTTTTATATTACTATTTATTGTACATGTTTCCTTTTTCATAATTTTAATTTTGCTACTGCATCAGTCACTTATTCAAGTAATTCCCATAATCATAATGCAAGACACAAGAAATAGAAAGTAGACTGTGGTATCTGGTCTGATGCTTAGAAAATGGATATTGCCTTCATTTTTTTCATTAATAGACCTTCATACTTGGTTACAGCACCTTGGTGATGATGTAAGCATCGTGAACAGCCTCCTGAATGGAACTCATCCCTTCTCGGAGAGGTTGGCTGCTGCAAAGAAGCCCATGATTGTTGTTGGAACTAATGCTTTGTCCCGAGAGGATGGTGGTGCACTCCATGCACAGCTTGTACAGCTTTCTCAGAAGGTAAAGGCTTTGGAATGGACAAGAGAGATTGAGATACTGATATTAGTATTTTTTTTACTTCAAGAGCCACTGAAAATGGTTGGTCAAGTTATACTTGAAACATATCTTTGGAAAATAACATGAGAGAGAGAGAAAGAGGGAGGGAGGGAGGGAGGGAGGATGAAGGTGAGGAAATGAGTGAGTTACTGAGTTTTATTCATATGTTAATTAAGGAAAGTAAATTAATTTTGTGAATCTTGATACTTATGTGGATTAATTGAAATGGTTAGTAGCCTTGTGATAATTTTTTGATTGAACAAATTATATGTAATCTCTATACAACCAATCAACTCCAATATTATCCTCAGCTGCGCAGTGGTTGTGAGGGAGAATGGCGTGTGTTGAATGTCCTGCAGCAGGTAGCCTCACAGGTGGCTGCCCTCGACCTTGGCTATACCCCAGGAGTGGCTGATATTCGCAATAACCCTCCCAAGGTGCTCTTCCTACTTGGGGCAGATGAGGGTGCCATTACCCGGGAGGACCTGCCAAAGGACACAATCATTATTTACCAGGTAAGGAGATTCATGTTTCTTCATCCCTTGGCAACTGGTAGCTTTGGTAGAGAAGGAGAATATGTATGTATAGTAAAATACTTAAGCAGAAGATAGTATTGAGGTTCACAGTTTTTCTAAAATATTTTGAAGTTGATATATAGTGTTTCAGCTTTTTTCATATTTCTGTGGTGCCAAACTATAAACTCTTAAGAGAAAATATCACATTTCCTCAAACATAGGGTCACCATGGAGACCACGGGGCGACCATTGCCGATGTGGTTCTGCCAGGTGCCGCTTACACCGAGAAGACAGCAACCTACGTCAATATGGAGGGACGGGCCCAGCAGACCAAGGCAGCGTTGGTTCCACCAGGCATGGCCCGTGTTGACTGGAAGATCATCAGAGCTCTGTCTGAGGTAGGGTGTCTGTGAAGGGAAAGGGAGAGAAAGTTTAAGAAAAGTAACTTTGTGATGGGATATTCTGTAAGTTATTTTATATTCAGGTTATTCAAAATTTTGCTGACAGTGATTTTTAGTTTCCTTTTCAAGGTTGGTGGTGGTGGTGGTGGTGGGTTGGTGGGTTGATTGGTGGTGGATGATTTAACAAAAATTTGTTTTTATTTTTAAGCTAATGTTTATGTGCTCAACAATTGGGAAGGAGAATGATTTTTTGAGGAAATTCAAAAGAATTGACTGATGTAGTGTTTGTAGTTATAAAGTTTAATTGCTTTTTATTTCTGAAAGATGTGTATATTAAATCAATGTTTCATATTTTGCTTTCATTATGATTGTTGGAAAATGTATTCTTCCTCTTCTTCAGATTGCTGTTAATGGACCTTCTGTCTTTTCTTTTTAGATTGTAGGAGCTACACTTCCTTACGATACCCTAAATGAGGTGCGCCATCGCATGGCGGAAGTCTCACCCAACTTGGTGAGGTATGGAGATGTCGAGGAGGCCAACTATTTTGCACAGGCATCAGCACTTGCGAAGGTAACCACACTTTTCATGGTACTTTTTTTTCATTCATTCATGCACTGACTGTGGAGTAAGATCATTCTTGTGTTGCATGGTTGTAGTAGACTAGTTTCCTATTTTCCAATGACATCAGTTATGGCAGATGCCCTATTGGTCCTAGGTAACCTCCCATCTTCTGCCAAAGTTAGAATGTGGAAGGTGTTTTAGTCCAGAAGGATTTATAATTATCTTCATGAATTTTATCTCATCCCTTAGGAATATTGGGCTAGTAACAGTATTCATTTTGAATGCTTTCTTTGGGGTACTCATAGTTAAGAGGTATATAAAGTACAATTGTAACACTATAAATAACATTGATAGATTATTATTTTTACATTTATAAGATTTTTATTTTACAATAGATATCACAGGTATATGTAGTTTCAATAATTTCATTAATTGTTCAGTTTAACCAAGTTCATAAGTACCCTTGCATTGCAAAGGCATAAATTGTCCATATTACTGGCAAGAAGGGATGTCTTTTAGATCATTTTTACACATTTACAATGTAGTTGTCTCCTGCTTTTTCTTATTAATTCATTTAGTAAGGTATTAAACATGGTATCTTAACATGAAACTTTTTTTTTATATAAAATAATATAGACTTTATAGTAAACAGTTAGCTTTTGCCTTCATCATCTTACTCAGAATTATATGATGTGATATGATAGCATGCCCTTCATATCGTGTATTGTGAAATTAGTAATTCTCTCTCATCATACCTCTTTATATCTTTTTGTATGGTAGACCAGAGCAGTCTTCCTTTCTTATTACTTTGTCATAGAATTAGTCTTGGGTACGTTATGTGATTGTAATATTTTATTTATTTAATTATTTATTTATTATTAGTATTATTTTATTATCATTATTTTTTTTTCTTTTTTACGTATGTTTATGTATAAATATAAATATATATATGTATATTAATTTCTCATTTTCAGCTGGTGAAAGCAAACTTTGATGCAGCTCCTCTGGATGTTCCCTTGAAGAAGCTGGAGGACTACTACATGACCAATTCTGTTACCAGAGCCTCCCCAACCATGGCCAAGTGCATTGCCGCAGTGAAGAAAGAAGCGAGTAACAAGTTTCATGGATAAGGGTGTCATTGCAGTTTTGTGTTAAATAAATTTAATTAGTTGAAAAAAATATATATTAATGAGGGTAGCTGGTTGTCTAGTTGCACGAAAAGCTTTTAAATTATTACAGCCATGATGATATATATTTATTACCCTTTACTGTTGAACCAATGATAACAAATGGAGACTGCTAGACACCCCCCCCCCCTCCCTCCTTCAAGATTTTGATTGTAATATATAAAGCATTAAGAGCACCTAAGTAGGATTTCAGTTTGGCACTTCAGGGTAAATGAACCAGTCTGAAATTCTGCTAAGTTTGCCTTCCCGTAAAGAGTTTCTATGAGGTTTGTTTCCAAGCTGTTAAGAAATAAAATGTTGAATTTGTCATGGATAGAAACATTCAAACAAGAAGAAGTACTGCTGGAGGTGGTAGTGTAAAAATGTCTATTTTATTTGTACAGTATGTCCTAATAATAAGAATTTATAAATATGGACTTTCATTTCCTGCAAACATTTCCTTACAGTCCGCATTTTTCATTGTGGAGGATTAAAAAGATCCAAACAAGCAAGAATTGAATACCAGGTTTCTCACATATTCATAATAATGAAATAAAACTATTCTGTTGGAACAAAGGCAGCACAAATGTTCATACTTTTGTCTATCATCGTATAAATGATTGTGAATATGAATTTCTTTCATAATGTCCAAGTTGGTTATGGCATAGAACTGATAACTTTTTTCTTTCTAGTTGTCTCTGCACAGAAAAAGAGTATTAATATAGGAATCAGTTTCCTTTCTTTCATAGTAACTATACCTTTCTATCTTTATCTCTCCCTTTCACTGTCACTTTCAATCTAACTAATTTTCTCTCTTTATTCACCCTCATCCACACCTTTTTATCAATCTGTATCTCTCTATATATCAGTTTTTCATTCTCACCCTCTCTCTTTCTCTTTCTTACTCACTTTTTCTTTTTCTGTTTCTCTCTCTCTCTTCTCTTTTTCTCTTTCTCTTTCACTTTCTCTTTCTTTTTAATTTTCTTTCTCTTTCATTCTCTTTCTCTTTCTCTTACTCTCTCTCTCCCTTCCCCTCTCCCTTCTCTCTCTCCTCTCTCTGTCAGTCTGTCTATCTCTGCCACTTTTTTCTCCTCTCTTCTCTTCTCTCCCTCTCTCCAATGCACTACTTACTTCACTACCTTCCTCTGTCTCTTTCCTTTTTCTCTGTCCCACCTCTCGCTTTCCTTCACCTCTCTTCTCTCCCTTTTCTCTCTTTGTCTTTCTCTTTCTTCTCCTCCTTCTCCTCTTCCTCCTCCTTCTCCTCCTCCTTCTTCTTCTTCTCATCCTTTTCCTTCTCCTCCTCCTCCTCCTCCTCCTCCTCCTTCCTCTCTCTCCTTCTCCTCCTTCTCCTCCTCCCCCTCCTCCTCCTTCTCCTTCTCCTTCAACTTCTCCTTCAACTTCTCCTCCTCCTTCTCCTTCTCCTCCTTCTCCTTCTCCTCCTTCTCCTTCTTCTCCTTCTCCTTCTCCTCCTTCTCCTTCTTCTCCTCCTTCTCCTCCTTCTCCTCCTTCTCCTTCTTCTCCTCCTTCTCCTTCTCCTCCTCCTTCTCCTCCTTCTCCTTCTTCTTCTTCTTCTTCTTCTTCTTCTTCTCATTCTCCTTCTCCTTCTCCTTCTCCTTCTTCTCCTCCTTCTCCTTCTCCTCCTCCTCCTCCTCCTTCTCCTTCTCCTTCTCCTCCTCTTCCTCCTCCTCCTTCTCCTTCTCCTTCTCCTCCTCCTCCCTCCTTCTCCTTCTCCTTCTCCTTCTCCTCCTTCTCCTTCTCCTTCTCCTCCTCCTACTACTACATTTAAATAAAATTCTCATCAAACTGTAAATTGCCTGTCAGTACCAGCTAATGTCATTTTTAATTACATAGAAAAATACACACAAAGTATTTTGAGTATACTAAGTACTTGTATTCTTTCTTTCTTTAATTCTGTCCTTCTTTCTTTCCTTCCTTTTATCTTTCCTGTTTTTCTTCTTTCCTTCCTTCCTTCTCTCTTTCTTTTCTTTTTTCCTTTCATTAACTGTAGAGAGCTTTGACTTCCCCCAATCCCATGCCCCTTGTTTTCGTGGGGGCACACTAAGCAGGAGCTGAGGCCCCATGTTGAGGATTGCCCCTCAGCCTTTAGCTCAACCAAGGTCTATCCCCCCCCTTCCTTGTCCTTCTCTCTAATCCTTTCTGGCCTCTTCCTAAGGTGTAAGAACTGTGATGAAAGCCTGACTTTACGTCAGTCTTGAACGGCCTCCGGGAACCATAGGCACGGTATTCCCTTGGTTAGCAGTCTAGCCCTTACCACTCATCATGGGAACCCTACGGGGTAGACAGTTTCTGTTCCCCATATGTTCCCCCCCAATCCCTTGCCCGTTGTTGTCGTGGGGGGGGCTTAGGAGGCGGAGACTGGGACCCAATGATGGGGAACTCCCCAACCTTGGGACTCAGCCCTCGACTCAACTAATTATGCATGGTCTTTTTTTTCCCTTCCCACTTTTGTTTCTGTCCCTTCACCAAACCCTTCTGCTATTCACCTCCTAAGGTGTGAGAGCCGTGCTGAAAGGATGAAAGGCTGACTTTGTGCCAGTCCTGAACGGCCTGAGGGAGCCATGGGCACGGTATTCCCCTGATTTAGTTATCTAGCCCTTACACCTCAAGGGGACCCTGAGGGGATGGACTGCTTTTATCCCCAACATAATCCAGGCTTCCCATGGCCAGTAATGAAAATATATCCCCACTGTTAGGGGCAATAAGCTTTGCCCCTTTATCAAATAGCCCCAACGAAGTAAACCCACCCGATTCCCCGACCCCAGGCTCTCCTTTGACCACGGCTCCAAACACTGCAATAACTACCCCTTCACCGATGCCTACTAGTACAGTAGCCAACAATCAACCCTCAAGGAACATTTCCACTCTCCCAGCATGCCCAACTTCAACACCTCTACCCCCACAACCTCCAACATCAACCACCCCATCCTCCCTTACTAATACCTTATAGCCCACCTCTCCATAACACTACCTCCATCAACACTACTCCATCTTCGTCACGCCCTCGCCCTTCTACCACCCCTATCTCTAAAACAATCTTGAATACTCTCTTCAGTGCAGCCAAATGGGACCGATTTTTCGTGATCCCTCCCACAGCTCCCTACTCTGACAACACCCTTCTCTTCCAACAATGCCTCCAAAAACAAGTAGGTAAAGTCTCTTTCCGTAGCCGACCCGACCGCTCCCGTCTTGTAACAGTAACATCCGAAAACCAAGCCATAGCATTAACAAAACTAACTGACCTATATGGTAACCCCATCCTAGCAGAACCCCATCCAACCCTCAATACTTGCACCGGAACAGTCTCAATCTCACCAACAAATTGCCCAATCTATGACAAAGATTGGTCAGATTGTGGAGAAGATCTACTTGCCTGTCTCACAGACTACGATGTAACATCAGTACAATGCTATTCCATCCCCCCCAGAGGTCATCGAAAGAAACCCACTAACATAGCCAAAATTACCTTCCGTAGACATGACCTTCCCTTTAACGTCTACATAGGAGGAGAATCCCTCCCTGTTCGTCCATACCAACCTCCTCCACGTCAGTGCCAAAATTGTTGGCGTCTAGGACACCCAGCCAAACATTGCCCTTCCACAGCCAGATGCCCACTATGTGCCCAACCTGGCCATACCCGATCTAACTGCTCTGCACAATCACGCACATGTGCCAACTGTGGCGGCCCCCATAATGTATTTTATAGGGGCTGTCCCACCTACAAATTTGAATCTGAGGTAGCAACTCTCAGATTCAAACTTGAACTCACACTACGTGAAGCCAGACAGGAAGCACGTCGACGTGGATTCTCTCTTACTCCTTACTCCAGTAATACTGCTCATTCTAACACTTCTCCTAAACCCACCCCTCCAACATCTAACTCCCCCACTTCTACCTCCTACCTTCCCCAGTCAAACTCTTTTGCCATCCTAAATCCAGACACTCCAATCTCTACTACAGATACTCCAATCACCACTACAACCCCAACACCTTCCCCTCTCCCTCCTCGCACTACCCGTAACACACAGAACAAACGTTCCACTCCCTCTTCCCCTACCACACAATCACCCCCACCATCCTTTGCCCCTACTCTTGAGACACCAGTCCTCTCTTCCCCCCCTCACAAGAAATCCTTTATCCCCAAAACTCCCCAACCAACTCCACAGAAGAAACTATTGAAAATATTCAAGATTACTTAATGAAAACTGACACTCAACCTACAACTTCTGCTCCTTCCACACTCCAAGTAATTGCTGATATCCATCCTCCTCCTAACGATATCCCCCCTACACCCTATCCTCCTACCCCCTCCCAACACAACCCATCCCCCCTGACCCCAACCCCGCCCACATTAACCCTCCCATCATCCCCTCTATCCCTTCCACTCCCTCCTGGATACACACGTGAATCCCTTATGTCACAAGTATCCCCTTCCTCAGACCCTCCATCTCCTAACACCCCTCCTGATAGAACACCAACTCCCACACCTCTCAGATTCAAACTTGAACTCACACTACGTGAAGCCAGACAGGAAGCACGTCGACGTGGATTCTCTCTTACTCCTTACTCCAGTAATACTGCTCATTCTAACACTTCTCCTAAACCCACCCCTCCTACATCTAACTCCCCCACTTCTACCTCCTACCTTCCCCAGTCAAACTCTTTTGCCATCCTAAATCCAGACACTCCAATCTCTACTACAGATACTCCAATCACCACTACAACCCCAACACCTTCCCCTCTCCCTCCTCGCACTACCCGTAACACACAGAACAAACGTTCCACTCCCTCTTCCCCTACCACACAATCACCCCCACCATCCTTTGCCCCTACTCTTGAGACACCAGTCCTCTCTTCCCCCCCTCACAAGAAATCCTTTATCCCCCAAAACTCCCCAACCAACTCCACAGAAGAAACTATTGAAAATATTCAAGATTACTTAATGAAAACTGACACTCAACCTACAACTTCTGCACCTTCCACACTCCAAGTAATTGCTGATATCCATCCTCCTCCTGACGATATCCCCCCTACACCCTATCCTCCTACCCCCTCCCAACACAACCCATCCCCCCTGACCCCAACCCCGCCCACATTAACCCTCCCATCATCCCCTCTATCCCTTCCACTCCCTCCTGGATACACACGTGAATCCCTTATGTCACAAGTATCCCCTTCCTCAGACCCTCCATCTCCTACTACCCCTCCTGATAGAACACCAACTCCCACACCTCTCCCATCTCAAACCTCTCAGTCCTTATCCCACCCTCTAGCTGCTTCCCCTTCAAAGTCTCCAACACGTACTACAATCTATATCACTAAATCAACGAAAGTATAACAATCCTTCATTGGAATATTCGCGGTTTCCGCTCCCACAGACCTGACCTTCGTCATATCCTTTCCTCTTATAACC